ATCAAGTGCACTCAAGCTCACAAACCAGGAGATTATTCTGCAAATGTCAGAGTCACAAGGAATTGGAGAATTTTAACTCTTCTGCCTCCCTTGCCAATATCACCACGAGGGCTAAGACACTGGAGGCAGAAACTGGACACAGAAAAATCTGTGGTAAGCCAGCCACATCACACTCAAAGCTGTAGAAAAGGAAGGATGAGTGGGCATGAAACAGGTACAAATACACCCAAGCCCAAACATTAGCTTCTGCTGCTGAATTTCCTCTCAACTTTTCCACAGATATACTGGTATGGAAATCCTAAAAAAGGAGACGTTAGCACTTTCATTTAGCTTCTTTTCCGATCACCAGTGTACTTCTAATCTATCGCAAGCTGAGGCTCTTCTCTATCCAAATTCCCGTTTCCAGCTCTCCTGTATCAGATGCAATGTTTACCTGGCTTTTCCCTTACAGCCAATTCACTCTGACAGGAGCAGTCTCTGCTCTGCCATCCCTGCCTGCTTTCCTGCAAATCATTCACTCTTGACTCTACACCAGTTCCCAGAGAGGATCAAGTCCATGCTCCCTGCACATCCCAGCTCCCATGCTTGCTGCAGGCTCCACGGCTTGGCTGTCCATGGCCAGAGACTGGCATGAAGCAGAGGAGTAAGATAAGACACAAGCCCTTCAGCATGAATGAACCGTAACTCCCTGGGGACAGATTCCTGCCCAACTGATCCATCTGGCCAATGCTTGGAAGAAATCTGAGATGAAAGCAAGAATTATCATACACCAACTCTCGCCACATCTCCGATTCTCTTTGTTGTTACACAGAAAAGAACGGCGAGAATTCCCGCGCCTGCCACTTGTTTGCAACCCTTTTACATGCTTTATTTGCAGCCCGGTCCTTATTTCTTGTTTTGTTTTTACTGTCTACTTTTATTACAGTTTTGTAGCATCTAGATTCCTGCTGTGATATGCTCTAGTTTTACCCCTGCTTTATTCTCTGGGGAAAAGGGGGAGAGAAAGATGAAACGGTAAAATTAATTTGTTTCTTTGATAAGGCAGTTAAAAAGCATGTTGGCCCCTCCGAGCATTTCAATAGCTTATCCCCTTTTCTAATATTTCTGAGAGGGGAATGAAAGCTGAATGCTCAAAACTGCCAGCACATCCACATCCTCTTCTTTGAAAATTGAAAACTGAGTCTAATTATAATGGCTTGCACAGTCCAATTATGTTGCTGATCTAATCAGCTAACATTAGGAGAAGCGCAGAATAAATCTGCACAATAGCTGGGACAGAGTGGATTTCTCCCTGGTCCAGCATATTTAAAGCATCCTTATCAGCTACATGTCATCTGAAAAAAAAAAGAGATGCTGGCTGCAAAAAGTTTTTCAAACCTTCCCATCTGATTTCTCTAGCCGCATCCCAAAGGAAGAAGCCTTTCATTTACAAAGGATTTTCTCTTTCTTTTTTTTTTTTGTTTTGTCTTTTTCCCTGGTCCAGGCACACCCTCTTGAAATAAAGGAAACATAAGCACTCGGGTTTCATTAGTTAGTGATTAAATACGTTAGGAGACAGAAAATTGGCAGAGAAAGTAAGGCTGGTTTGTTCGTGTTGGTCTTACTGTTGGCTCTTTGTGCACACTCTGAGTGGCAGGCCTCTGTAAACTGAGCTCAACACTTGTGGGGTCCTTCTTCAACTCTACTGGGGGCCTGTCCCCTCTGGCTACTCCGTCAAATTTCAGAGATCTGCTCGGCGAAGGAGTAAATATTACTGTTGTACATTCTTTATCCTTCTCTTCCACGCCGTTGAAATTCTCTCCATTCATGCTGACTTTTCCATCTACCTGCAGAATACAGTTAAATAAATATGCTGAGGCAAGTAGCAAAGCAATTTAGGAAATTAGGACTTCAACACGGTATTACAATTGTTAACACAGCCTCTGCATCAGTGAAGGACAGAGCCAAGCACACATTTCATTCAGCGGGCCAAAACAGAAGAAAATGCTATTCCAGGGCGGTCATAAACAAAATACAGACAAGGTAATAATTTTTCTGGATTCCCTGGTTTCCCACATTTTGTTCTCTCAGTAACATACAGACACCTTTTGTGTGCATCACAGATCGGTGGATTTTAAAAGAACGACAAAGCTTTATGTTATATTTAGTTCAGAATGGCTGGGTTTTGCATGGCCTCATGCAAGAGTCAAGCAGGTTCCCCAGGACTAATTACGCTGATGAACTGCTATGAACCTGACGACCTCACCACAGTATTAGTAGACCATGCATTCTGAAGCCCTGTCATGTGAACTTTGAAGGGTCAGGAGCAACAGAGTTCCTCCCGTTCATAACACCAAGGCAAGACACCAAAAAATAAAACTGGGCATTCCACCTTCTCCATGAAGTGATAAAATAAACAGCTGTTTTCCCAGAAAATGATCTTATGCTGTCTCCATGAAAAAGAGAAAGGAAAGAGTTTAATTACATTGTTCTCAGGGACAAGCTAACTCCTTGGTTGGCATATATTCCCACTAAGGAACCCTAAAGCAAGGAAGAAAATACAAAATAAGCCTAGGTTCTTCCTCTGCAATGACACAGCCTCCTCCTTGGACTTTCATACTTCATAACTACGTTCTGAATGGAGGTGGCATATGAAAACGTCCTCCTGGTTGGAGGGCTATTTGTAGAAGTCACAGTATATATAAAGCAAGCCTTGCTACAGAGAACTCACAAGCCATTCACCCTACGAGGGCCCTGCTGGAGAGAGACCAGGAGAGGACCAGGTATCAGGAACACCACATTGCTCCTGCCCAGCTACGGCACAGAGGTTTATAGGCTTGTCAGCAGGGGTGAGTTTTAAATAGATTTGAAGGAGTGCTTTGCTACTCTCTGCACAGAGATCCTTCCTTGCAAAACAATCATCATGAGAGACAATGCAAAGGTGAGGGAGTAAATATGGGCAGACTCTGCTGATCACTGGACTTTTGGAGGAATAATGGCATAGACCAGTGATTTCTTAGAGAAGCTGTCTGAGACACAGAATCATAGAATCATAGAATGGTTTGGGTTGGAAGGGCCCTTAAAGATCATCTAGTTCCACCCCCCCTGCCATGGACAGGGACACCTTCCACTAGACCAGGTTGCTCCCAGCCTCATCCAGCCTGGCCTTGAACACTGCCAGGGATGGGGCATCCACAGCTTCTCTGGGCAACCTGTTCCAGTGCCTCACCACCCTCTCCGGGAAAAACTTCTTCCTGATATCTAACCTAAACCTCCCCCCTTTCAATTTAAACCCATTACCCCTTACGGTGATCAGTCAATACCCCTTATGGTGATTAATCAATCACCCATGTATGGTTATTAGTCATTTCAGGTTTCTCCAAGGTACTGCATAACCAAAAAACCCATGTGAAAACAAGCTCAGATGTAAGGCATTCCATGGGAACTTTTCACTTCCTTCAGTGTTATTGAAAACTGATGCAACAAGCATCAAAACGGCGTTACCAAACTGAAATACAGTTTAAGATAACAAAGTTCTTCCCACCTCATCCTCCCTGCCCCACTCCTTAGTTCACTGTGTACTCATCTGCAGTACTTTACTTCTGGAGTAAGCAACCTGGATATCTCAAGAGCGACACTCCAACTTAGTATATGCCATCAGTGCTAAGCTGAGGGCAAACTCCTCCCGTTGACTTCTTGTATACGTGCATCCTGAGGTCTCTTCTCTGTCTGAGAGTGATTAACTCAGGGCCCATCTCTGCGGCACAGGGCATCCTCAGCTCTGAGCTGAGAGTGGGGAGGTGAAGGCAGTTAGCACCTCACACAACAAACTCCCAAGAAGAGGAGAAACAGCCCGGCTCTGAAAATGGTTTCACCCCTTCTGACAGCTTTTCAGATGAAAGGGTTCCCTCCCTTTCCTCACTGTCATCATCCACTCAACACAGTACTGCTCTTAAGGTTTATCTCCAAATGCAACTGTGGGCAGACACTGAGCCCCAAGTCTTCTGGGACTGTGTGCTCGATTATCAGAGAGGCAGGTCATGAAGGAGCTCAGAAATGAAAAAGCCAGGAAAACACCGGCAGGCCGCACCATCCATTTTAGCGTCTCTGTTTAGACTAAGACATTCTCTATTTATATAATGGAGGAAAACCAAATGTTTGAGTGATCAGGACAGATGCCCTGGCTGCAGAGTTAAACAAACATACTCCTTTCCCTCTGATCTGGAGCAAGTCAACACATTGTCACCACAGCCGAGGATCCTTGACAGACTAGTGTTTGAGGGGAAAATAATGCTACAGCTACATGTGCTTGGGAATGACTCCTGCTGAGACAAATCACGTTCTTCCACATCAGACAAACAAGATCTAGACAGACTTTTAGTGGTGGCTGGTCAGGGGGAGAAGCATCCAAGGGTTAGTTTCCATCCACCTATGTGAACTACATATGCATACGACATATTAACGTGAAGGTGATAAACACATGTATCTTGGTCCTCTGAGGAAAAAAGCAGCATGGATCAGAAAAAAACCCAAAGATCCACAATTCACTGATGTTAAAAGTGTAAACTCTAGTCCCCTATACCAACTGAGGTATAGGAGAAACAGGAATCACCAGTTTCACATTTCAACTAGGAAACATGGTGGGGACGTTTCCACAAGAACTGGGACAGACTTCAAGAAATGACAGACAACATGCTTTTTCACTACCTATACAAAGCTAACTTATTTTTAAAAAAGTAAACGACCTGAATACACATGGTAGCAATGCTACTGGGACATCAGCAGAGCTGCAGGGACCCCTGCACATCACTAGCAAAGTAGTAGATGGCAAGGGCAGACGTGAGGGGATGCGAACTCTACAGGCTGGGCCACCCATGCCAGTGGCTTTGCACTGACTACAAAGCTACAATGAGACTTGGGGAAGCTCCAGTTTTGGTATAGGCACTGTGAGAAGCTGATGTCTTCAAACTTGTCCTGTTCTGGCCAGTTCTAACATATCCCAGTACTCTACTTTCTCCATCACAGGCTCAGTGTTTTACTCTGATTCTCCACATCCACCAAAGATACACTCCTCAGGTTTCATATCCCAGTTTCAGTCTCTTCTTCTATCCCCTTGCCCTGCAAATCTTGTAACTGGCTCCTTATTCCAGACAGCTGTGCTTTCATCCAAGCTCTCTTACTACTTGTATTCCCGTAATCTTAGCTCAGTTTTTGCAACCCAATCCAGTCACTCCGTCTCTCTCACCAGCAATCCCCTCTGCTGCCCCCCTATCAATCTGTTTTCCTCAAACCTGCATGGACAGCCTATATCCCATCTTTATGCCAGCGAAGCAGCTTTCCCCATTCATCCCTGGTGAGAAGCATTTTTAGGGCAGCGAGTATCTTTGGGCAAGCTGACTCTTGACTCTGAAGGAGTAGGGACTCTCCACACAGAATGCATGCAATCTGCAATGTTTCAAAGGTTGAATGGGACAGACTTGTTTGAGTATGGCAAAAATCAGCCCCTTGAAACAAAAGCCAGGCCAGGTCTTGCTCCAAACGTCAGGGCCTCCACGCTCCCTGCCCCTTCCCTTTTGTTTAAAAACAAGAAACCGTGACAACGTTTCTTTCCTAACCTCTTTTTCACAGAATGCTTTGCTTTTTTCTTAGAGCAAAACCAAATTTAGCCTGAGGAAAAACACCAGCACAAATATTTCAGTCTGAACAGGTCAAATTTCTAAAAACCAGGAAAAGACCACTGGATTGGGCAGCACAGAGCAGAAAGCTGAGTGTTACAACATCAGAATGCTGCAACCATTTCCTACTTAATTACACTGAACATTTATACATCCAGATGATTTAGTCAGGATCTCTTTGCCTCCTGATTGACTCTGGGGACTGCAACGTATCCTACCTTAAAGTTCTTTAAAACCTCCTGTGTGTTTTTGGGCTGGGAGTAAGGCTTGGGTGTCAGCATAGGCACAGCCTTGGAGACAACACTTTTGCTGGGAGACGTACGGCCCGTCGAACTGCTGGGCTCTAATTCAGCAGTGGGAACAATGGTTGCTTCAATGGTGGCAGTGAATTTTGGAGCAGGCAGTGACTGTTGCCTTAAGTATCTCAGAGGATTTGGGTCTTTCAGTGGGGAATTTGACTCCACTGAATGGCTTCTTTCCAGGATTTTTGGCATCTGCAAACGCTCAAGGACAGCTTCACTGATAGTGAATCTTTCGATGTATTGCTGGAGGATGCTCTCAGCCTCCTCCTGTGACTTTGCATTCTTGTATGCCTCATGAAGCTCCCGCTCTCTTCTCTCTCTGCATGGGAGACAACACAAGAAAGATGACTGCATTAAAATTAACCCTGGAAATCACTCCTATCTCCTCTGCTCCATCAACATCCTTCCCTCTCCCTCATCCCAGGCTTGCAGGCGTGGCTGCCCACAGCTACCCATCCCCTATGGAGCACACAGCATTTTCAGACATGCCTCTGCACTTCAGTGAAACAACATACTTCTCTTCCACAATTTCTCGATAGGTTTTGATGCTTTTTCTGCGCTCGTTTGTTCCGTCTCCAGACAATAACCTTTCCATTTTCTTTCTCTCAGCCTCTTTTTTTATTAAATCTTGTGAAGCGCTCCTTCGACGACTCTTCCACCGAGCCAGGTCCTGTGAGAGAAGGAAGGCACCTGAACGCAGAGTTGCAAACAGCTAAAAGCTGGCTGCAGAAACCCTGCTCTGCAACACTTGCTCCTGCATTGGACCAGACTCCCATCATCTGCAGGCAGCAATGTTTAGTTTAAAGAGAAAAGGAGATTATACCACAATATGAAGATATTGCCCGACTGATTTTTCTCATAACAGCAGGATCCAGCAAGTATTTCATACCTCCACTGGTGTTATCTTCTTTTTGGCTTTGAAGTGTTGCAGAAGCACAACAGGTAATAACACCAGGAAATTTGGCCTGAAAGGACTGGTCCAGTCACTCATTTTCACTTGGGTCAACATTAGATAAAAAAAAGTGATTCCCCAGGAAGATGAAGCAGAAAAATTATTTTCGGTGAAGAATTTTAATAGTCAGATGTGTGGGAGGCAGGGGCTCACTGGAGGAAGGGATGATGTTTCACCATGAACTACAGACACACTGATAGTTGGGGAGCTGATAGTCCCATACTTTGCCCATGCTATCAGCAAACTACATGCAAGCATGGTTGCCCCATGCTGCTTCTTTTATTTTTTTAAAAGGAAAAATGCAGTACAGCATCCAAACAAAATATTCCTCATGGGCACCCTCCAATACCTTTGGACCCAGATCTGAGCAACACAGGTTAGAGACTAAAGTGGCTCACACCTGGTTGGTGTGAGACATGACAGGGCAAAAAGCCTGGAGTTTTTATCCTGCTATACAGATATGTTCTGTTGAAGTGCTGATCTTACTCTTTTTGGAATCTGCCTGCCCAAAATTGTCCAGAAGATCCCCTGCTTCTGGTTCTTTACCTTTCTTGCAAAACCAGCCTGACACTAAACCCAAGAGTCACAGGACAGACCTGTTACGGATACCTGTGTCTTGCATCCTGCTTGGGTTATGAATTCATAAGTCCTGGAGGGTACAGAGACAAGATCTTTTTCACAATAAAAGTAATACAGTAAGGAATTTTCCAAAGATGTAAACTTTCTTTGCAGCCAACTAGTAATGGAACTAAATTTTACATGTAAAAAATAACCTCTGCAGAACTTCTGCAAAGAAAAATAACTTAGTAGGAAACTGCAGGGGCACATTTGTCATTAACTTTACAACATCAGGAGATTAGTACACAGATTATATTTCATGCACTCTAACAAATTCTGGTTTTAATAAAACCCAGAGATTCTGTAAGCATACTCAATTCAAAGGCTACTTCATTAATTACGTGGTTTTCCAAATATTTTAATTGCATTTTTATTGGTAAACAGCAGAAGGTACTGCAAGCATAACTTATTTTATTAAAACCAGGAACAAACCTTGTCACTTTTAATTTAGCTTAAAACCACAAATTATTGACATTACTCTCAAGGGAATGCTCATTAAAGTATTTCTTCACGACCTACATATATTAGTCTATAATCCCCTTCTTGAAACATAGGCCTTTCATTTTCCTCAGTTACTAATTATTCTCATTGAAGTACCAAAGCATTTCTTTATTCAGCTACTCCCACTATTGCCTATTGTTTGGAAATTAGTTTTTCATTAGTAAATTTCATAACAGAAGCCTTGGTCCTCTTTTTGTAACTAAAAGCCAGACATGTTTATCTTTACCAGCTCTAATGCTTAAAAATAACAATAATTAAAAAAAAGCCATGAAACTGTTAATTGTTGGCAAATTTACAGCACGGGCATATAAAAAACGTCTGACCATGAACGCGGTGTCGCCTCCATAAAGCCCTCTGAATGCCAAGGACATTCCAGTAAGGGTATTTTAGTGGCTCTTCAGAACTTTTAGTTCAGCGTAGAAGGTACTGAAGGCTTGGAAAACTTACTCACTCAGAGGATTTTCCATTCAACAGCAAAGGAGTTCTCAAACCTCTTGAATGCCTTTGGACTCATTCTTATCTCTGCTGGGAAATTATAGCTTCCCACACATACAGACCTCTCAGCTGAAATCCTTCATTGTTCTACTACAAAAAGTTATTTCATAGTTGTATATACTGTTGTTCTTTCAACTTTTCCTTGAATTTTCTATCAAAAACATCCCTGAGATGTTTCACAGTAGCTATCCTTGTAACAGGAAATTACTGTAGAAGCTGCTTGAAGAGATGTGTTTTTCTTTTTTTAAATTAAAAAATACGCCCCAAATTCCTCATTAAATATCAGTCTTCAGGAATGAACAGGATTGACACTAAAACTCCTGATACTACCCCACCTGCAAATCATACTTTCTTATCTTTACTGATTTGATGAAGATAATGATAAATGCCAGGACAGCTTAAAAACCCCAAAAACATTGAGGAAAGAGGGTTTGGAAAGGACTTGTAACTCAAGCAGGGTGTAGCTAATTTGAAGGTTAATTTGTTTGCTTGGACAAGATGGAAAATGTTAGCATTTTTCTGTATTTATGCAAAATTATTAATTCCAAGTCCAGCCTATTTATTCAGTGTCTTGCTTAACTCTTGTATTTTGTCACTTTTGGCATTTACTAATTATAAAAGTTAAAGAAATCAGCAGTTAGAAGCTGTTATGCTTCCATTTATACCTATTTACAGTTTAATTGCTTTTTTTAAAAGCACAATACATGGTGCACCGGCACCAGAAAGATCTTGTATTCAGTAATTTACATCAAATTATGAACTTCTATGCTTTTAGCAACAATCTGCTGGGGGAGAAAAAAAAAAAGGGAAAAAAGCTCCTGGCTTTTTCTGTGCCAGAGAACCAGTGCAGATTGAGCAGGTTGCACTTTTTTGCCCAGCTAGCTGTCCTCAATGCCAGCACTGGGGACAATGCGGCACACTCACATCTTGCCATCTGGTCTCATCCTCTTTCAGCTGGTTGTGGATGTTCTGCAGTTTCTCATGGCGAGCTTTGCTGTGAGGCTGAGTCACGGCTTCTTCTTCGCATCTCATGTCAAACATGCTCATACTCCTAAACAAGGGGGAGAGAAGAAGCGGTGTGGTTATTCAGAGGTTTATATTCCGTCAGCTTGTTAGAGCTAAAGCCACATGAGGGTGCTACAGCAGAATCGGACACCCCCACCGTTACGAAGCTCTCCCAAAAGCAGCAGTCCCCCAGAAGGACCAGTTAGCATCCCTATGGCTCCCACTGAGCAGCTCAGGCATTATACTCCTCAGCTTTCTCTTGTTTTTGTTAGCTGGCTGCAACTTCGACTCTCACTAAGAAGCATTACACGTCCATCGATAGCTCTTACTGAAATAATTCTACTCAGAGCAGAGTCCAGAACATTTTACTTTCTGAAGATTTGTTTCCTAGTGAGTTTTCAAGACCCCTCCAAATAACAGCACAGAGAGCAGTTCCCATTTCAGTGTAAAACAAGAGAGGCTTGAGGAAGTATATTACGGGCAGCATGGCTGGCTACACGCTATCGCTTCAGAACAGGGGAGAGCCTGCCCAGAGAAGTACACGCTGTGCAAACAACGTGGCACTTCCTCCTCTCCCCTCCCTGCCTTGAAGAAATTCAATGCTATCAGCACCAGCTTATTAATACAGCTAACCTAACAAGGAAAAGCTGACGTTCAGGACAAAACACTCTCTCTCCACGCATTCTATTTCTGTCCCTGATCTTTAGAGATTTAAAGGACAAAAAGGTCATGGTTTGACATTATATATCCATTATATCCATTCATATTCTATAAAGATCTTCTCACAAAGATAACGTACTTACTACTCCCCCCTACTACCTGTAATAAGTAAAACATGACCTCAGTTGTGCCATTAAAAGCAAAAAAATAAAAATAAAAAAAGCCATGCAGAAACTATCATCTGTAGCCTCAGGTGAGCTGACTAGCAGGAGAAGCACCCAGTGAAGATAAAACTGTAGGCGACTGTGCACACAATAATTACAGTGAACAGACACGGAAAGCTGTGCATATATATGTATTTACCCAACATTTGTATTCAGGCAAGCAAAGATGGGAATGAACCACTCTCAAGGGAAAAGTGAAAGGTCTGGACAGCGGATGGAAAAGGACATGCACAGATCCCATCCTGTTAGTGGGCGTTTATTCAGAAATGAAGGACAGAATACACATCCTATTGCCTTTACGCATGATCAGTGAGGTTAGCACATTACCGTGCTTCATCCCTTAAACACAGGGCTGAGGGGTACACTAGTTTGGGTTCCTGTTTAGGGGTTGCGTTGCTTAGGACTGGATTAGAGCACTCCTCAATAACAGAACCTAAAGAGATATGGTTTTTAAAACTAAAGGCATATCACCTACTAAGGAACATTTAAATATCAGCCATGTTTTGCAGACTAGTGAGGTAGGTTGGGAAGCAAATAGCTTATAATAAAGTCACCCTTAAAGGGTTTATTCCAGTTTAAGAGCTTTTGAAACTCTCTTGAAAAGCCTTTGGTGTTAAGTATTTACCACCTTGTGCCTACTGGGTCGAACTGATTGAGTAGCTCCCTTCTTGTACCCATCTCTCATGTCAGAGAAGTTTCCATTCACATAAAGCAGAAGAAAATGGAAGATCCAAAATGATGGTAACTTGTTCTAGCAGAGTGCACAAATACTCATCCTCTGCCATTTGGGATGGGAAAATAAAAATACTTTCTACCCAGAGTCCCTTCATGTCCTCATGAAAGGCTAGTATTTATTCCCTGCATTCACTCGGGGTCTCTCAGCGTGCACAGAGACAGCAAAACCAAACTCTGGAAAACGCTTCAGCCTAGGCCAGGTATCAAAATTTACAGTACAACCCCACACACACCTTCTACTCTAGTTGTTACCTCCTGCTGCTGGGCTTTCATTGCCATGGATAAGCAACCAGATAGGTTCAAACGTTAACTCTGCAGCAAGGTGCTATTGCACAAATGCATCTTTCCAGGAGAGCAATCCAAAGGAGTCACATCTTAAAGCACTGTGCTCTGTGTGTTCTGCTCTGACCAACATGTAATGGCCATTAACAAGAGCCACCTACTTTCCTGAATACATGGAAAAGACCAACTGAAAGGTCTACATCAACTTCTCCACATGAGAAGTTCATCCTTAGGAAAGGACTGTAGACCAAAACTCTTGAGTTTCTGCCAAAAGACACTTTCACTGAGTCCTACATCATTTCTTCCTATTTCTTTCTTAGATAAACTACCAATAAGTTCAGTCCATCACTAACACCTGCATGAATCAAGCTAGAATTACTCCTTCCTTCAATTATGCACTGGGCCAGCAGGCACAGAGCATGCAGGTAGACAGTACCAAATTCTTGTTTGTTAATTTTCTGCCATTAGCAAAGCCCTGGGGATTGTATAGAAACTCTGGAAGCAAGAGGCCTTTCTGCTGGCCAGTGTACCAGACCTGCTGTTCTAACAAACATCTGGGAAAAACCACTGCACAGACCAAGTCTGTATTTTGGAGGGCTAGGTACTTGAGATGATGTGATTTTTAAGTTATGCTACTTTACTCTCACAAATTAGTTGTCCTTGTCAGTGATATCATGCAGCAATTTTATGTTTTTTTAACAAGTCTGACCAAGTGTTGGATTAAAAAAAAAAAAGTCCTTGAGGATTTGCATGTTCAGACTCATTTCAAAGTGAGAAATAAGGTAAAAAACTTCATGAGAATATGCTAAAACTCCTTATGCAAGACATTTATTATGTGCCTGCATTACCATTTTACAGGCACACTAAGACTTAAGAAACCCCAACACATCAGTGACGGGTTGGCTAAAAAATCAGTCTAGTTAACAAATACTCAAAAATCTCAGCTCACTATAATTCGCTTGTCAGGCTTGAAGTATAAAGCATAAGCCTAGACTCACACCGAACTGCCACACTACCCCCAGAATTCAGCCCCATCTCTCTGGGAGATGGGAATGGGGCTGATCAGAAGCAACACACTAAGTATTGCCTTTTCTGGACCCCGAGACAGACCAGGGAGTTTCTAGTTTTGCTGCTGGAATAAACAGCACCTAGTCTGAGACTGAATTCAAGTTACAGAGTTTTCAAAGGAGACTTGACAAACATTTTGGAAGCATTTTAAATGTCAGTTCAATTTATTTTTCCTACTTGAAAGCCCAATTTTATTAGATTCTTTCTAAGTACTTTGTCTTCTAAAGGAAAAACACGATCTTACGTTTATAAGAACTTAAAAGACAGTTTAGGAAAACAGTTGCTCTGTAAACTGTGGCACATCTGGAAAGGATGACAACAAGGCTTGAACACTTATTATTTTGCCTTTTAAAATAAAATCAGAATCAATGGGGAATAAACAGTAGGCTCTATTAATCTTTGCTACTCTCACATTGTACCACCAAACGCATTGCAATGTCTCTTTGAAGGCATGTCCATGTACCTTTTCTCATGTTTGCATTTAACAGACATGCAAAAATGTGGGAAAACAAATGAGCAAATTAATCAGATAGGTAGGCTTTCTGAAATGGCAGGGAAGTCTCCATTGTTAAGCAGAACACTTGTGTTATGCCCTTTTTATCTCATCTCTTCATTTGATTGAACAGATTTCTGCTGTTTGAAAATTATTACATTTACTCTGTGGTGAGAGGACACAGGCTCTGCTCATCATAAAGGAATTACAGATCTTGTAAAGAATATTCAGTCCATGATTCTAGTTTTTATCATTAGAAGAAAGGGTGAAAAATTACATTGGAGACTCTGTATATATTTGCTTTAAAAAAAAAGAAATCCTCCATGCTGTTTCGATTTTGTGATTTAATCTGGGAGATAGAGCAGGTCACATGCATTTCTGTGAACAGGAGGATATTAAGGACATTATTATGTGGGTAGTTCCCAACTATTTCTTTGCCTGTACTTTCTAAGAATAGCTAATACTTCCACAGAGTTTTCTAAATGACATTGCCTACTATTCTGATCTACAGTTTACATGCACACACACACGATTAAAATATGTTTGAGTCCAACACATGTCACAGTCCTACTCCTTCTGTCAGAAGTAAAGCATCAAGGTGAAGAGCTTAAAAAAAAAAAGTTTAGTACATTATTAAATTAAACCCAACCTAGGATGGATTCAAGAGAAAGTTTTTAAAAAGACAATAAAGGAAGAGCTGAAGGTGTATTTTCCTGGAAGTTATACTGAAGATCAGAATGGATTTTGTTTTAGTTTGGGATTTCTTTTTTCTTCCTGTATAGGTCATCCTTCTTTTTTTTTTTTTTCCTCAACACCCAGCCCAGATTCAACCCTATGTTCTTCACCTGTAGCTGATTAGAGGCAATGGAAATTCAGAAGAAAAACAAAAGAAAAGAAAAAAAAGAGGAAACAATACTTTAAGCAACAGCTGGACATAAGTGTTACGCTCAGTTTTTATGAGCTTTTACATAAAAATTATTTTTAGCTGCAATGTAAGCCATATTGCATTCCATTTTTCAGTGCTTTTCTGAAAAATTGATTTGCTGGAACACTGCAAAATAATAGTGAGGCATCAACTGCATTTTAAATTAGTAGAAAGACAGGAAAGCATGCAGTGTAAGTTGTTTAAAATAGAATCTTGTGAACACAAGACAACTTACTCTGCGTCATCAGACACAGCAGTTCTGGGGCCGAATCTACAAGACCAAATATAAAATTAGAGTGTTGGTAAATACATTAAGTTGTAATTGCAACTGGACCCATACAATTTGGGGAACTGTCACTTGAACATCCAACCTTACTAGTAAAGCTGACCAAAAAAGAATCATACTGTACAGGGATTATGTATTCAGCAAACAAGACTTACCTAATCATCTGGAAGTCAAACTACATACCACCACCCATCCCTCCCTGACCCCATGCTAATGCCCCCATTACAAAAATCTGCTGAAGTATACCTAAAATGGGTATAGAAAATAGTTGTTGAAAATAGACAATATATTAACATTTACATTGAGTGCCACACATGCAATGAATGGAGACAAAACTTACATTCACAAAGTTACATTCCACAGCAGTGCTCAGAATCACCATTACCGAAGCAAGGGAGACAAATATTATAGGCAGAAAGTGAGCCACAGGATTTCTTTTCTTGTTATTGTTGAAGGTTGGTTTTTGTTTTTTTTTTTTTGGGGTGGGGGGAGTGGGGTGAGGGTGGTGTAGCTGAAAAATGGTACTGGTAATACACACGTCAGTGTCATTCACTAAAGTGACAGTCTTGTTTAGAGCCATGCAAATCACATATTTGTATCTAGGATTTATCACAAAAATACCATGTACAAAAGTCGACACTGAAACATTTTTTAACCATGGAGAAGCAAGATACACATCTCTCAGAGCAGAGTCCAGTTGAATCTCTGCTATTCATAAACCCTTTTTGCAATTCAACATATATACTGCAGTCAAATACTTCTTTTCAGTTAGCTTTCATCTCGGTATTTCAAATATGTCAAAAGAGAAGACATTACACAACTATTTTCTTCTTTCTACAAAGTGGATTACTGACATACAGTATTTTAGTCTGGGCTGAAAACACACCAGGCAAGGCACGATCTGAATTCTGAAGTGTGCACACAGGGGCGTACAAGCTGCGTGATTCACACCATACAGAGCTCACGTTTGCAGATGTTCATCCTTGGCTGACAACGTTTCCATTTTGTTTTCCTCAGGAATCTCCTGAAGCTTAGACTTTTGACCAAGGTGGACTTCATGAAGGCTACCTTCACCCTCTTGGGCAGTACAAATAGTCTCATCTTGTCCTGCAGGAGGGAGATTGCATTTTTCCTGCCCTTGCTGCTGTTCTTGCGGCAGTGGTATTACAGGTTTTCCAGAGCTATTAATGCAGACTTGTGGGCATTTCTCAGGCCTGAATGAGCCAAAGGCAGCAGTGCAAAGAAATATATTAAGCGACATTTGAAAAATCACATACACATAATGAAAAGCGTAACTGTCATTAACAAAACCCTTCCCCACAAACCCAAATAGCTGATAGGTGACAAGCTAAGTGAGGGAGGTGCACAAAACATCATTTTAATAGAGTCAAATGCCTGTACTTCGAATTCTTCTAAGTCAGAAACACAAACTGTGCTGGATACCACGAAAATATTGAAGTATTCAGTACATATTTTAACCAAGCTGTTCAACTTAAGGACTTCTCAACACTAGACCACCGTTCAGTTCTATGGTAGATGACAGTTTTTATTCTTCTGGCTGAGCTGTACAGTAGTTGTTTATCTGTGTACTCACAGGCACACATATATCCTTCTCATGTACTCGACAGAGGTTGATGAGTAAGAACCTTTCCACTCCTGCCTGCCTGTGGCTCAAGCAGCCAACGATAACTCTGCTCAAAGGCTTAAACCGCCAACTTCCCCACACAGCCTCAACCATCTGACCAAAGGTGCTTAAGAAAGACACCAGGGATTATCAGGAGGGATCTTTTCTGCGTGGAAGTCATTGGCACCACCTAAGCCATAGACAAGCCTCTAACCTACCATATCCAGCACCTCTATTACTAGCTGGAAATATATCTAGCTCATGTTTAACAAGAAACCTCTACAAATGTAACACAATCTTGCTATGCATATACTTTTCCACATGCTGTTAGAATATTGCATCTGGCAGAGCTCTAGCTCTGAGTCTTTACAGGGCTCTACCAAAAGAGCCAGAAACCCTGCACTGCCTTCTTTTGTGCAGAAAGTGACGGCACAGAATCCAGGACAAGTATGGCAGAAAGGGCTGCTGTGCCAACAGCGACTCTTCCAGACCAAGAGACCTTGACAAACGGCCTCCAGGGCCAGCTGCAAGGGAAAATTACCTCGCAGTTTTCTTCTCAAGTTCTATAGCCGTGCCCTGCTTATCCTGCTGCTTTGAAAATGGCATGGGAAGGAACTGCTTAACACTGGGCCCAGGCTGTTTTAGGAAAGCTCCAGTTCTTCTGGCCAACATGTCATCTCTTTGCAGGTCTGGAAATTTCACTTTGTTTTCTGTTCCACCACTCTGCTGCTGAGGGGTTTCAGACTGTTCTTGGCTTTCTTCTCGTGTGACAGTACTGCTCAGAGAGACAAGTGACACTGTTCCATAATAACGTTCGCTTGTGCAGCCCGAAGGCAAGCGGCTGCCGAGGCAACATGGGGTACTGCTACTCAAAACACAGTTGCAGAGTGATGGACAACTGGGCATCTTTAGCTACAGCGCAGGGAGTGAGAGCAAGAGGAAACTATGTTGAACACCACACTTACATAGGTGAGACGTTAGAAGCTGAGGACTGCACAAAAATGTACGCGAGGAGTTACTCAGAAGCTGGCATAAGTCTGGACAAAGCACCACAGATCGCAAAAGAAATCACCCCAAAAGATGAAAGACTCTTTTCATGCTGAACAGCAATTAACCACTGTAGTACTTAAATATTATGAAAGAAAACAGGCTGGTTTATGTTCACAGGATACATTCTTGTAAGTGATTTCATAAACCAGAACATATGCCATGATGAATGAGTAAAACACATCTTTAAAGGCCGTGTGAAGAATGGAACAACACTGCTGACTGATCCAAGCTAACACCACACACAAACCAGGCATGAGGCTCAGAGGGATCTGTTTCTGTTCTCTGACCTTTCTGCTTCCCGTGGAGTCTTCAAATCCTTCCCATGAGCTACTGCCTCCCCTTGCCGTTGCTGCGGTGGATGAGGAGCTACTGATGGGGGAGGACAACGTAGGGGAACGGGGCTAGTGGTAGGCCTCTGAAAAGTTCCCATCCTCCTAAGCAACATATCATCTCTCTCAATGTCTGGGAAATGCCCAACACAGTCTTCCTTGGTGCTGTCTTGCTGTTTGCTCAAACCGCACAGGGTTTGTTTCTCAGAGACGCTGCCAAAAGCTGGCACAGGTGATGGCATTCTCCTGCCAGAGTCATCTGTACCTGACTCGGCTACCTCGCTGGCGACACAGCCGAGAGGAGGGGTGAGATAGACAGAACATTCTCAAGTCATACGAAAGGTAAGAAGAGTCCTCCAACTCAGTTAGCAGATGTGTTATAGACGCACAAATGTAACTGAGTGAATTGCTTGCTAAAAGCATTCATTAAAAGCCTTGCTATGGCCACAGACTAAGCAATTAGAGGAAAAGCCAAATAAACGTATGCTCTGTTAATATGTTAACTTCCCAGAGCTGTAATTCTCCTCCAGATAAATGCCAGAAGCACAGAGCACCAGTACACCTTGGTTTCAGTATTACATCTTCAAACAGAAAGTAAATCCATTAGGTCTGAAGAAAGCATTTTTGGAACAACAGTAAGGCCAGCAAGCTGAAGGACAGATTCCTACTGGCTGAAAGCAGGCAGAGCAAAGCCGCTGGAATTCAAGAAGCAGAAAAAGCTTGAACAAGAGCTCAGACTCCAAGATAACACTGATTTCCCCACTCATCAGAAATTCTGAGGCAAGCTCTACGAAGACCTTTGCACAGCGTTGTTTTGCGTAACCCTAAACACGTTAAGATACTGTGAAGGTGTCGGATGACTTCTGAACAAGGCCGTGCGCGTAAACAGCTCTTAAGGTCTAGGCGGCAGTCCACCCCCATGCAGATCGGCATCTGGCAAGAACAGGTCTCCCTTCCAGCTCAGCAGCGCTTCCTAAGCCACACCAAATACCTGGCCTCGTTCTGTGGCTTCGATACGGCATCGCTGTGTTCAGCACACCCGACACTGCCAACAGCGGTCGAAGGAGAGGTTTCAACATCAGAGTGACACTCCACATCGCCTTTCTTGCTTCCCGCCTCTGTTCCGCTCTTGGATGAAGCTCTGCCAATAACGAGCTTGTCCCATCTCTGTTGATCGATCTCGGTTACCGGCCCAAAATGCACAAACTTCTGCTTGGGGCCACTGGCCTTTTTGTTTGCTCTGGCTTTGCGGACAGCAAAATCATCGTGGGCTGCTGCTTTCACCGTGATTTCAGCTGGTGGCACAGTGTCACCGGGACATTTGAAATCTTCTTCACTAGTATGAATGAGGAATAAAAGAATTCCCCCAAATGAGACCCAGAATAAAGCAAATCTAATGATCCTAAGGTTTTGGAGGGTTTTTATTTTAAAATTCAAGGACACGGGTACAAACAGCTATGGCATAATGAGGCCTAAATGACAGATAGCATCTGATGTTGCTGCAGACCTGTTGGGGAAACTCTGAGAGCACATCCATGGATGCCTTTCCTTAGGGGAAGGAATGTAGCCCACGGCCCATGCCAGACTCAGTTCCTCACCCTAACAAAGCCATAGTTCCCTTATCTGCCCGCAAGGACCTGGGCTGTGTGTGACACAGGACTGCGCAAGCACCAGCACACCCACCTTGTCATGGGGAAGTTCCCATGAGAGCACCGGGAAGAGCAAGTCACGCATCCTAAACCAGGGGGACTGAATCTTGATTTGCACACATCATCTCAGAACTAACGGAGAGAGTACTAATATCTTTGAGATGAGAAAATGATTGAGTTTTGATGGTTTGTATTAGAGCTAAAATTACACACAGTAACCACATTGTTAGAAGAATGCCTGAACAGACAGCCACCTTTAATTGGAAAATGGCATGTGCCTAAACAGGAAGGCTAGGAGTTGTTATCCTTTCCTACTGGAGTCACAAATCACCT